AATTTAATATATAAGATATCAACTTATATTAGCTAGGTATATAAATATTCGTCACACACGTAAAATAATATTTTGGAAAAGTAGAAAAATTAACTTTAATCATCTAGTATGATACAACATTTTATAGTGTAAAAAGTTTCATCAAAACTTTTTTACTACCTATTTTTCTTATAATAATTGGAACCTATATAATAATATTCGTGTGTAGTTTACGAAATTATCATATCTGATAACTTTTTAATTCCATACTGTATATATAGATATTATAGCATATATTGAGTAATATAAATTACTGGTCACGTATACAGAGTAGAGAAATTTGGGAGTTTGAGTACTCCAAAAATTTTAAAAATAGTACTCAAAATATAAAATATATAGGTATTCCAAACGCATCATACATTTTACTAAATTATGATAGCTTAAAATGTTTAATTTTTAACTTGTAACTTATTCAATACTTATTAACGACATTTTAAAGTTTTCATGAATAATAATATTTTATAATAGCTGATAATATAAAATAATACATAAATACAAAAAAAAAAAAATTATAATCGATTCTTTGTTTTAAAAAAACTATATTTCGACCAAACTCGGTAGATGTTTTTTTTTACAATAAAGTTTTCATAATACATAAATTGTTTTTTCTTTTGTTATAGCAATACGGGCCAGCCGACCATTCAATTTCGGCAGGTATTTTAATGAAAGCCTATCCGGACTTGAAGATCAATTTCAGCGAAGAATGAAAAAAAAAATAACAAAACGACGTCATAAAATTATATTATGCCGTAACACGAAATATTAAAAATAAAATAAAATATTAACAAAAATTAATGTACTCGTATATTTTTTTTATCACTGATCGGTAATAGTATACTTATACCTATGTATATAAAGTATAAATCATATTAGATCGCTGGTCGAGGTTTATAATATTATTTTCTTCTCCTTCGCCTTCATCCCAACGAAAAATGTCGTAAAATTCGTTACACAAATAGGATAATTATTATGCCAACTGCAGTTATGTATAATATTTATTCTTAACTCTAAAAACACCGAAGTTTTAAACTAAAAATATTATTGTTGTTTGATAAAATAGAATATCAAGTTATAAATATTATGATAAAACCTGTTTGATTAGTACCTGTTATCATGAATAAGTTGTTCATAACATAATTTCAGATGTTTGTGGCTTTACGTGGTTAATACCATGTCAGTGGTACACAATGCAATGTAAATGACAATAGTTTCTAGAATAGAATAGCCAACAAGACAAAATAGTAAGATAATGTAGTTGTTTCATTTTATGTTCTTGAAAATCCTTAAAATTAAAATTGTTCAAAAGTTCAAAAGTAAAAAGTTCAGCCTCCAAAGACATTTTAAAACCTGGCGCCTATGTGTATAACATATAAACGCCCCTTTTAATCGAGTGTAATAATCGTTCCAAAAAACATCCACAAGTTTGTATAATATTATAATACACTGTAATACATTTCCCACGTGTATACGATAATACGGAAGACAAAGAAATTAATCATTTTAGATTCCGAGCGTAGCGAGGGAGATATTGGTTTTGCTAAGATGTTTATTTTTTTTTTTTCTAGTCTTTGAACACATTTTTTCCTAGTAAACATACTCTGATTTTTACGTGTAGTAACTTTTCTGAAAGCTCAAGTTGTCTAGATGGTACTTGAAAGATCATTTTTGGATTTTGCCATTTTTTTTAAATAAAAACACTTAAATGGGAAAAACATAAGAAAACGTACAATTTCACGATTTCATTATTTTACAAAACACGAACGACGTTTTCTACCAGAAAAAAATTAATTAATCGAAAATCACAAGACACCTTTTTTGTTGCCTTTTTTATTCAATTTCTTACGGTATCATCATCAAAACTTTTAAACTACTTTTGAGCTTTTAAGGAATTTTGATTTTTGTGAGGTTTTTGCTGTAATTCGGTTATAAATACTCGTAGAGACTTAAAAATTGGTGATAATACTTATATTGGACTTACCTAGTCGAGGTAAAATTTCCAAAATCATCGGACGATTTTTTGTTTTTTTAACCAGCGTTTTGAAATTAAATTAGTACGAAAATCGCAAAACAAATTACGGTGCTTCAAATTGTGTATTACCGAACTTTTGTCTTTCATGTCAAGCTATGGTTTTTGTTGCTTACAGGTATAAATAAATTAACCTTATGTATCCTACCTTTCCAAATTCTCACTTATATTAATGGCCGCTCCCATCCCTAGTATCAGCTCTTTTTTTTTTTTATTTCAAAGTTATGAATTTTCTTCATCTCTACATTCAGATTGTAAAAAAAAAAAACCACATGCGATACATTTGATGTTTGCTGCAATGTCCTGCGTATCATGTGTGACATATCATTTTTCATCGTGTCATCATAATAATGGAAAAAGTACAGCACGAATGATCGTTTCGCACATAAGAAAATGGTTAAATTAAATATTTACGATTATTTCGATTTAAGTTCATAAAAAAACACGTTTAATTCCCAAATTTTTCCGAAATAGACATTTTGTACAATACATTTTTCATGTGTCGAAGATCTATGTTACAAAATTAGTTGCCAAAACGGTGCAGACTTCCTAATGTTTGGAACTGTTTTGAACCACAATATTTTAAAGACCTAAATTAATGAATAAAGTAGGTATCATCAAACTATGATTATTCGATTAGGTAGGTGTCGTTAAAGCTTTTCTCAAATTTTTCCTAAAAATTGAGACTATTACTATTATTCTGTGTGTTCAATATTGTTTATCATTTTCCCGCTACTTTTGAACACTATTATTGTGGATCTTCAGAACCGAATAAGCACATACTTGGAATTTTTACAAGCAGGTTAAATTGATAAAATATTGTCTAATCTATAAACATGGTTAGTTCCCACCCCAATCGTGTTTAAACTCAAATATCAGACCGTTTTTGGAAGTAGTATTGTAATATTACAATAGTTTTCCGCTGTTTATTGTTTTAAAATTATTTTATAAGACAAAATAAGTGATGGGAATTTCGACTAATAACAGAGAGTGACTCTGCTGCTGACGGATATGCTTTTACTAACCGGAAAACCAAAATTAAAGCAGACCAATTTATTCTGTCCAAGGTCAAGAAATTATTTTCATAAACAATTACACTACTAGCATGTAACGGCAACGACGATGCTCGTTAGAAACATTTTTGAATATTTAGGATATTGCGATTTGCTATCGCCGATCTATATACACTATACACAAATGTAAAAATATGTATCATATTACAATCGTTACTCTTACTCGTCATTGGCGGGATTATAAATTATTGTACGGGTGGGCCAATAAAACGCGTACAATATAGAAGTATAAATGTCTACCCTACTAACCTTCCCCCACCAAATAGCACCATGTTATTATATAATGTTATCACAAATCTCTAAATGTTGATAAACAACTTCAATAGTAATAAATCAAGTTTAAAAAAACTTTATATAATTGAATTTTATAAAATATCTGTGTTAATTAATCGAATGCGCTATCAGTAAGTGGCGTATTATGTCACGCGCGGAGCGCTCAACACAGATCATTCTGATACGAAAATGTGTCAACGCGCGTGATGCTTTTTATGTTTTTCCATTATACGAAACCGTTTCGGTGAAAAACTACGTGACACATCAATTCGCGTACGCCAAGACTTTGCAGGAAATATAATGGAATACATTTTTTTCCGTCCCCCTTATTATTTTTTTAAATAAATATGAGAAAAAAAATTCAGGTTTTCCGGGCTTTCAGGATTGAACAGTATTCCATTCTACACGGAGTTCGAACTACAAAAAAAAAATATTACAAACAAAGGGTTTTAAAATGTAAAAAAAATAATACACATATACATTTAATATTAGATTAGTTTATACTTCACCAGAAATAGAACTATAGTTTGTACTAGAACTATATTCATAGCATTCACATTTTAAACGCACACTGTATAACACACTTGTGTTATACATTTATAATCATTATTCATTATAATCATTTTAAAACAGCTACATCTTATAAACATTTTACATTTGCCACGGTATTTTTATAATATAATCCATTGGAGTATAAATGTACAACATAAACGTTGCTCGCAAGCTTGCTCTTGTCGATCGCCTTCGCCGGGGTATACGACTTTTCAAGTTGAATGAAATTGTTATTTCTCGATGAAAAATGATAATGTTACGAAGGAAGAAACTCAAAATCTGTTTCCCTCGTATTACCCTACGAGAATAAAATGTATATTCATATAATGAGGAAAAAGCAAATTAATTAAAAAACGATAACGGAAAAAAGTAAGTATATAGTTCTTAAAATTTTTTTTTTTGTAAAAACAAAATATTATAATTATTTTAAATCAATCTTATCGCTTAGGCACATGACGTCTGCTGTTAAAGTTGCGTTTTCAACTTTGATCAAGCTTATTTCATCTTTTAGTTGCAACAAATTTAAACTAAACTTCGAAACAGTAGCTTCTACTGACTGTAAATTTCAGTATATCATCTGGTAAGAAAAAACAAGATTTGATCGACTTCAATACCTTTATACACCGGATAATGTTGTCTGCTGCTAAGTTGGTAAAGATTTTATTTGCTCATTTAACGAAGTTTAGTGTGTATTATTAGTGGAACTCATATAAATTTCGTATAGTACGTCTTAAACTAATAGCATAACTAGTACATTTCTTTTATTAAAAATATCAAGAAAAAATCATAACTACAATATATTATGCCGCACAATTATTTTTACCGAACAGAATTTGATTTAACTAGGATGATTGAAGCCTTAAACTAATGTACATGCATCTTCTTGGACGGAATGTACGGATGATATCACTATTTTTGTATCGAACTGTATTTTATGTGTGAGTATAACAATATAAACTTTCTCTCGTAAGGCTGGATATAATATTGTAGACAATTTATTTAAATATAGTGATTTATAATCAAAGGACTACTCTCGATTTTTAGAAAAACCACGAATTTACCCAAACCATAGCCCAAATGCACTGTATACTTCTGTATAAATTTTGTATGGCCTACTTACTATTTTGGTCCACCTGAATTTCACTCGCCTCTGCTGTTTATAATACAATATTATAAGATAAGCGCCTTTTCGAGCTAGTGCTTATAAAATACCTATGTACCTAGTAGGCACAATGTATAAAAACTATAATTCAAATAATGTAAAACGAATAACGTAAAAGTAACATAACGTTATAAACGTAGAAATTATACAATGTCTTAAATAAAAAAATATGTAAACCGCAAAAATCTTAAAACGTTTTAATACAAAATTACGTTTATAAAACGAAAGTTTTTTTTTTCAAAAACAAACTGTGAAAATAAGTACTCTACTATTGCCGTTCGCGGCAATTACGTGTAACGGAACTCGTATAACTTATTACGTAACTAATAACGAGCGAAACAATGTTTGTTGTGCGAAAAATGATTTTTTGAGATGAAAAAACACAGATAAATCGTGAATAGGTCACTAATCACAGTAATGGAAAGCATATTGTTTTCGTTGCCGTAGTCGTTAATAATATTGTTTTCGCATCGCCATCGTCTCTGATTGTTCTACCGTAGCACGTTTATGAGAAAAAAAAATTATTTTATAAATCGTAATTAATATTATTATTACTGCAGTGCACGGTAGGCATCGAAAGCTTGTTGAAAAAAACATTTATCAAATTATTTATAATCAGTAGAGGAGTTCATCCTACATTTGAAACTAGTTTCAAGTATTCTGCGCATCTTATTTTGATCAATTACAGCAGTCGTAATCTGAAATCACGATTTTCTTCTTTTTTTTTAAAAAATTCATTTAAAGTTAAAATTTTATTTAAAATCATAATAAACACGATATTTTGCATACTTTTTATGTGAATAAAGCATTTCAGCCAAACAAAATGTTTAATGTGTAGTATACAAAATGTTTTGAAGTTCATTGAAACATGTTTGACCAATCTTTGCCCAGAATTATATTTCATTAGCAACAATTTAGTGTTGCGTACAGATGTAATTTGAATTACTCTATAATATATTCTATACCTTTTCAGTCTGTCCTACTTTACGCCCACAACAGTGGCACACTGATAGTGAGAACTTGAGAAATATGCCTATTTGAATGATCATTACGTGTGCAACAACATAATAATAGGCAATAAAGAGCCGTGTTGCTCGCCAGCGAATCAATGTAACAAAAAATAGTATACCACGGCGATAAAAAGGTCAATTTTGTGCCGGTGGACTACTGCGAGGGTGGGGGTTGCCTATCGGCGACGTTCGACATTTCGGTAGAGAACGCTTTACATTCAATCAGAAATGTCGTCATACCGTCATACGTTTTATGCTCGACTAACGCGCTCAACAAAATATACATCTACACATAATTCCCATAAACTTATAATACATTTTTAATGAAATTTAAATTTTCGAGAACTTCATTTTCCCTCTCCGTAGAGATTTTTTAGAGTGGTAACGTATTCAATGTCTAGACACCTTTTGCGATATGTGTTATGTAATCTTTTAAAACCATGCACCATCGCAGGATGCGTTTGTCACCTTTGGAATAATAAAAGGTCTGTGTGCATAACATTCGCACATATTTTCTGTTTTTATAATTCGGAATAATTACTTTTACGCAAACAATTTCGTCCGAGTTTAAATACAATATTACACAATTAATTTGTCATATCCATTGCTCGGCAATCAACTATATAATATCTCGTTTTCACTATATTATACCTACAACGTGTTATACTATACCTAGATGCCGCGCCAGTCGTTGCCCGTGCCAATTTTGTATTATTTGTTTTATCCATAATACATTTTGGTATCGACCGTGTCGGTATTGAATGAAAACAAATAGGTGAAAAGTGGTTGGTTCACCTTTGGCCTACTAAAAGGGTTCTGTTGTGACATTTTTCCATGATTTTCATACCAAAAATATTTAAAAACCGAATTTTGGGAGATTTCAAAAAAAATGAAGCCTATCGGAGAGTAGAGACGCTCGACAATGAAAGATCGCGTGCACTGTATTATAATCGTCACTGGCACGGCGTTCCTTTTATACCTTTATGAACGTATTTGCCGACAATTTCTACTAACACAAAGTGTATAACTCAATTGTTAATCTATATGTATTGAGTATAAAAAGGAATCGACATTTTATTGGTGACGCATTGAAACTATAATTTGAATACCATCTAAGTTTCCAACTTTTCCAATATTTTTACCAAACATTTTTTTTCATACAAACTTTTATTTTTATCTATCATCAATTTGTTTTTGTTTTCACCACGGTGAAAACAATAAAATACAACAAAAAAGTATTGAGATTTTCATACAAAAATATCAACCAAATTTATGACTTTTCCGGCGGATTTTCATGTATTCTGATTATGTATGTTAGATTACAATTTTTATAATAATACGTAGTATAAAGTTGCAATAGTTATTTTAATACCTAAATGAGAAATTGTCTTCTTGTGAATTAAGCGAAGATGATAAAAATGTTTTGCAGACCATAATATTTAAGATTTTAAAATTAAAGCAAAATTTCTGATAGGAAAGTTGTTTACAGATTTTTAATTTATCTTGTAGTTTTCCTAATAACTGGGCTACCTTGGAAAAACATACGAAAAATGGAAAAGTTTACGGTAAATAACGGCTCCATTGTTTCAATTTTATTATTAATTGGTTGAAAATAATTTTAAATGCCTGACACTTTCAGCGAATACTTATAATTCTCAAAAATATTAAGAAAACAACATGGAAAATCAAAAAACACGAATTCGTTTGGTCAAAAGGACCCACTTTTTAGCAATTATTTAATCCGCTAATTTAATTCAATATTCAATTTAAATACTTTTGCAACCAAAAGCAGCGGGTAAAATATAAATCTACATAAATGTTTGGTAATATAACGGACGCACACACAATACATGATGCAATAGTCTCTGTTTCCGGGGGGGAAAATTCGACAAGAATATAAATAATATCTTTTATGCCCGTATATCATTTTTTTTTTCTCCGTCGGTTGTATAAAATATATTTCTCCGTTCAAGTAGGTCATGGGGACGTGGACTAGGCAGAGTCGATTTAAATCCTTAGAGAAGATAAAAAAAAATTGTTTTTACCGGCGGCCGTAGGCGCGAGGCAAATTGTTGGAATCGATTTTCCGAAACTATTATTTGGCGTTTCGCATAGGAAACGATGTTAAATAATAAAATAAAATGCCCCGGTTTATTAAAATACCAAATGCCTATCGGATTCTCTTACTTTTATTTATAATGTATTGGACATACATTACCTACTATTGTTTACATTATTATACGGAATAATCAGAATTTAATGTAATAACAATTTTTTTACATGAATATGTTAAACGCTATATACAAAAGTATTGTTAAAAAAATAAAATCTAAATTTATATGCACGCTTAAAATTTTTAAATAAATTTTTAACGGGGATGATTTTCGATTTTTAAAATTCAAGTGAGTATCAATAATCTTTTTTTTTTATAGCTATCATGTTTAAGTTATTTTTTTTAAATGAATTTGAGTGGTCAAAATAAAATATTTTAATGCAAAATTCTTTGGCAGCTTTGAGAGTGGATTAAAATTTTTAAAAACTGTGTAGAATACGCAGGCACATAAAACATTATGTTCTCGCACGTTGCACGTACTACACTACAGTTTTTAAAAACTTCACTGTATAATATATTAAACGATTTTTTTTCCCCCTATTAACCGACAGCAATACGAGACCAGTTTTCACATTGCTACACCACTACTGCCATCGTTTATTTATAAGTATAAATAAGTAATGTTTTATAAAATCCTGTTTTTTCCTTCGCGGGGCAGACTCACATTATTAACAATGCTAATTAAAGCTACGGCTAGGAGTGAGCAGTGGGACACGTCACCTCCGGACATTTTTTTTTAACTTTAAACTTTTTAAACATTTAATCATTACATATACATCATATTAAATTTTCGCTCATTTATATTGTTAAATAAAAATTTAATGATAACATAAAAACAAATTCAGATTGAACCATTATAAGGATGGCCCGAATTTATATGCTTTTGCATGGTTTCTTTTAACAGTTCAAGAAGATGCTAGATAAACTGCAATTCTATAACGTTGAATTATAGTCAAAATATTTAAAACACAAAGTATTATTTTAGATATTTCGTCACTTTTTGTTGTGTACTGTCTATTTCTGTATTTTACGATTTTCCGATCCATTATAGTACAATACCTAAGTGTTTGAAACCCATTTGTTTTACTATTCATCGTTGATTATACACACATATAAATATAGTTCGTAAGGAATTTGTTATCTTATATTATCTAATCACATCGAGATTAGGATAAATCAGTCCGGACTAGTGGTTTTAATCATATTTTTCATAATTTAAGTGCATATTATTCCGAGCCTTACTAGTAACATTAAGTTTCCATTTATTTATGGGTACTCTTACTATTTCTTAATTATTACGTATAGGTATTACATCTGATCAGAATTATTAATTTGTGTAAATTAACAATAAAGAATTTGTTTAAAAAATAAAACATTTGTATATGAACATGGTAAAGTTATGAGAAATGAGTATAATTATTTGCACATATTAATATTGTAACATGTAATTGATACATTATTATTAAAACTAAAGACACAAACAAAATATGTCCCGCTTGATATATTTTTAAATTTAGACCAAAGGATAAGTGGCCAAAGTTGCGATACCACAGTTGTTGTTCCTATTACGTGACATCATTATATAACCATTATCGCCCCAATTCTCACCCCAAGAATTCTTAACTATCCAATAGTCTTCTCCCGATTCTGTGGTGTTATAACCAACAACCAGTACAACGTGGTCGAACTCTGTAGGACTACAATCAGCCGCGTAAAACACACCTGATTTATAAATGAGGAAGTCAAGCGCTGAAGAGTCTATGGTAACAGATATCGGCCCAACGGTAGCTACAGCTTCCTTTAGAAGGTTTTCGTCTCCACTGGGAATTTTGACGTATCCTTTGTCGGTAGCAGCCCTGTATTTGAAACTGTACTCGCACCTTCCTTTCTGTAAAAAATTTTTAATAAACATCCTACTATATGTGATAAACAACTCGATGGAGTATTACCCTGCCAGTATAAGGATACGAATCCTCAGTATCAATTCCTCTATTATATTTGATATATCTAAAAGCGCGATGAGCAAAGCCACCATCACAACCTTCATTACCAAACCAATGAGAGCAATCGACTAAATTTTGTTCGCTTAATGAGACGAGCTTTCCCGTCTTCCGGAAATGTTGTCCTTCCAATGCCCCGGTCTAAAATTAAAATATATTCAATTTGATAACACCGTCAAACGTCTGTAATAACGTTGATAAAACATTGCTTAGGAAAAATGAATTTGAGCAGAGTTTAGTTGATTGTGATGTTTTATTTGCAATATATATATGTTATATTATAGTAAAATAATTAAATAGTCTTTCTATAGTTTCATTCCACTCAAAATCTAATGTGGAATATTAAAATGTTTTGAGAAATTACATTTAAAAAAGTGGGAAGGTTGGTCTAAAGTAGACTTCACGACAAAGTCAAATCTGGTTTTAAAGTTCGTATTGCTTCATTAGACCAACCGGTAAGTTGAAAATAAAACACGTCTAAATCCCTATATTTTACTTGTGTAAGACGAAGAGAGAAACTCCTTCCTTGAAATTCCCTTAGCATATTTTGTATCAAACCAATGAGACGCGGGGATGCAGTCCCAAACGCCACATTGTCCCCTCAACCATACACACAGCTATTACATCAACTACTCATGCCCGGGATGTTAAATCGTTCAAGTTAATTTCCGGATAGGTTAGTGGACGAGTAATTATCCGGCAAGCAAAGTTCCGTGTTCTCAGTCTTGCAGTTTAATTTTTAGTGAAATTTTCCGACAACATCCACTTCAATGACAATGCCATTATAAATGGTGTATATTACGAAAATGAGAGCCAGAAAAAAAAATTGAACAATTAAAACTTGTCTAGATAATATGAGTACATGTGGAGTACATAAAGATCAAAAAAACGACTATGTGATATGGAGGATTGAAATAATAAAAACTGATTGACTATTAACTAGGGTCAGATGAATGCAAAAAAGGAATATATTAGTTGAATAAATAATTATAAATATTACACAGATTTTGTTATGGAAGTCGAATTTTGAATTTTGGGTTTTTTTGACAAGTAGATAATTTTAAATCAAATTTTTAATTTTAATTCAAATTTGAATATTCACAAAAAGTATTCAAATAAAAGCAGAACAAAATATAGAATTTTAACTAGTATTGGCATTATAATATTTAATCATAGGCACGAAAACATAGAAAGAAATAAAAAAAAAAAAAGTAAGGTATTAACTGGACCCTGAACCTTGATTTAAATTCTTTTAAAAAGGAACCGGAACCTAATAATACCAAATCCCTTGTTTAAGTTTAGATAAAAATTATATTTATAAAATTCCTCACAAATTTCTGACAAATGATTTTTAATAAACATAATTATAATGTACAGATAAATTATGTCATTATCATATTAAACACAAAAACTTACAGCACTATACGCCCAGCACGATCCGCAATTAGGACCTTGGTTTTTGACAGGTGTCACGTATCCGATATTCCTCCAGTCGACCGAACTGGGAATGATTACATTTTTAGATCTCAAAAAACTTACCGATTCACCATCATCAATATCATTTATTTTGAAATAATTAAATCTGTTCCTTTTTTCAGCAATTTCTTGAGTAGTCTAATATATCATAATAATTATTCGAATTGATTATTACTGAGATACCTGACTTAAAAAGTCATATAGTTATATGAATAATTAGTAAAGTCCATACTAAGTCACTAAATTGATTTATTCCTATTTTGTATGACACTTGGCCTTCTTCGTACAACTTGTTGTGTTTCTCGATTTTCATCTTGTATTCTAAGTAAATATTTTTACGGAATATTTCTTCTTCGGCGTTCTTGTATACTNGGATAAATAAGTATTTTGTACACACTTTAAACGAATTCCATTCGTTTGAAATATCATGTATAGTCATTGAGCACACAGCACTAATAGCTATGGCCACAAATCCCAAAACAATTAAAACCTTCATGTTACCTATAATATAAATGAAGTTATTAGAATAAATGCAATCGATTGTATTTAATTATTATTCATTTCACATAAAATAAAAGTAAAAGATCGAGGTAAAAAAAAAACCTGCGAAATTACGAGCTTAATAAACTTTAAATGGTATATTAGAAGAACAAAATTGAAAGGTACAGTATTGAAATTAATGACTTCATATAAATCAGAAATAAAAATAATAAAAATAATTATAATTACAAATTTGTATCTTCAACTTTGGATATAAATAGAGGTATAAAAAAAATTTAAAAAAGAAACATTTTAAATATTCAATAACTTATAAAGTTTATCGTACTTTAGATATTTCGAATTCCTTTCTAGTTAATTTTTTGATAGTCGTCCTTCATACAATTTTTCGGCTATAAATTACACTTATAACATCATTCAATGTCGTCTTAAATCATTTTTAAAATATTTTAGTTATTAACCAAATAAAATTTTAAGAAAGTATTTTTTACTTTATTTATTTATATATTCATATATATATATTGCTTAAATTTTGGTAAATTATTTAGTAATCGTTATATGAAAATATAGGTACCTACCTTTTATAAGGAAAACTTCTTTTTGCGATGTACCTTCGTGTCTTATTCCGTAAAACTTCTTCAAAAGCAGTTATTTGATCATAAACCAAACGTTTTTTTCAACAATTTAATTACTAATTATTCTATGGTCTATCTGAAGAGGAACTGTAATTTAAGGCTTTTATATATAAAATACAACTCGAAAACGCAATTGTTAGATTTGCTTTCATACTAAATTAGCTGTTTAAAATCAAATGATTAGATATGTTAACCTTTATATTATTGTTGAAGTGTACTTCACTAAAAAAATAAGTTTATCTAAAATAGCTACCTGATTTTAATTAGTCTTAAGTTGATTACTAGTTTTTATCGTGTTGCTNATTAGATGTAAAAAATTAAATACCCATACTTTAAAACCCTTTAAAAGCACAATTTTTAACAATCCTTTTCAATCAATAATAATAATAGTTAAGGAGGTAGGTCACATAAAATTGTATACTGTGTATCTGTACGCAACGTTAAAACATGGCCGATGAAATACGATACTGAACAATTTAAGATCAAATGTTGACGAAAATTCTAATAATTACGATATTTCGAAACCTTTATAACTTAACATTGATCAAAATCGTTTTACGTTAGCAATGGTTTATCGTTGCTTAAATATATTAATTAAATAATTTTATGTAATATAACTTTCCCAACTTTCCAACCTAATGAAATATTCAAGCATTTCAATTCGGTCAAACAATATTTTATTCATATTAAACCAAATAAAAACCTAAAAAAACTCGAAAATTTCATAACGCCTCTGAATAGATCAATAATTTCCAGAATGTCATCTAGAAAAGGCCAACTAAATTATTTTGTAAAAATGTTATGTTTTTACTATTATATTTAATCTAATTTAGATTAAAGCAACATAATCAGAAAATATAAGTCGATTAAGAGGTGGACAATTCGGCCGGCTATGTATTAGGTATGGTCCATGTTCTGGCACTAGCACCAGCATCTGCGCTTGAGTCAGAACTCCCATTTTCTTACTACTCCAGTGCTCGTATAAACGTATTTTTTTAGTCCGTGGATATTATTATGCGATTTCTTTAAAAAATATAAAAAAAAAAATTGCAATAAATCCATGTATTGCATATAGATTTATATCCTAAAGCTTACAACATTGAACGCCCAGCACGATCCACATTTATTCGTTTGTATTTTGACAAGAGTCACTTATCCTTCCGTCCTCTAGTTGACTGAACTAGGGATAATCACATTTTCAGAACTAATGATAGTCACATAATCACTATCCAAATCATTTGTTTTCAATTATCTATGAAAGCTCAACAATTTCCAGAATGTCATCTAGAAAAGTCTAATATAATCATTTTGTAAAAATTTGAAGACTTTACTATTATTAATAATTGAATTGCAACATAAACAGCAAGAACATAAACCATGAAACCACTTCCAGTTTTTCCTAAGGAATTTCACGGTTTTTCTCAGATATTAAGAAAACTACATGAAAAATAACAACGATCATCTTTTCAGAGTGATAAGACGAAAACAACATCACATAAATTATACTAAATACTATCTGTTTAATATTTTTTCTTTTTTCCTTATTTTTTTTTCTACTCTATGTATGAACGCTAGAGTATTCAGAATACTTATACAATACTAGAAAGTTTTATTTGTGTCGTCTACTAAGCAATCAGTACCTATTTATCTACAAGCTACTATTGACTATTTGATATATTTATGAACATTTTAATTACTCTAGAATAAGTTGTGAGTTGTTAATTATTTGGCATTACCATGCGTTCCATCTACAATATAATTTGTGTCCAATTGCTCATCAAATACTGTTACAATAAATAAATAGATAATATTTATTAATAAATAGTCACTGTCGTTTACGAAAAAGCATCGCCATAAAGGCCTATCACGTAGCTTGTAAAATACCTTAATACGGAAAAATCCGATTTAATAACAATAAAGTTCATTAATTAAAGGATCTTCCAATATCCCGCATTAGAGATATTTTCTAGTGCTCATATACTCGTGTTATCTTAGTCCGTAGTTATTATTATGCGATTTCATCAGGAAACAACGAAACAATCTTACAATAAATCCAATTACCGCACATAGATAAAGTTAAACACATTTGTAATGACTTGAAAAATGGACAGAATGCCCACATTGCGTCGTTTAAATTGCATCAGTGCATCAAAAATCTGATAAAATGTTAATAGTTCTAGCTATAATTGCCGGCTATAGCTAGTTTTGTATACAGTTAGGCTAAAATAACAGTGGTTTGATAACGGAGCAATAAAATAAATAATTACCAATTGTTAACGAGTGTATTGTACTATATTTCATATATATAAATATATATATATATATATTTATATATTTATAGTGAGGACTTACTCATTTATATATTTATACATACTACACATTATTATACTATGAAGAAATGAGTAAGACAAATTTAATAAGAGGTTATATATATTTAATATTTGTTTAAGTCAATTATTTTAATATTGGTACTTTGTAGGTAAGTGAGATAAGTGAGAATAGTGTCATATATATATATATCAATATTGTCATTTATTTTTTACCTATAAACTGTTTCATATATTATTAAACATTAAACGCACGTGAATAAAATGAATAATTAGAGATAATTTATTGGCTTTCCATTAGGATCAGAATTAAAAAATATTATCATCAAATTATTGATATACATATACGTATGTATGTATTATGATAGTTGGTATTGATAATAAAGTAGGTAACCGAAGAAATTTCTATTTAAATTCACATTTTACAAATTTAAATTAATTAATTAGTTATAAATTCACATTGCAGCGAGGGAAAATGTTGAATTATAATAAATTAGAAGAAAAAAAAGGTAAGGAAATGGAATCGTATGCAGCCTCTGGTGTAGGTGGATAGTTGAGAATTCTATATTCTATATATAGACGGGAATTTCTGTCAGCAACGATAAACTAATACTTACGAAAAAAAAAAACGATTTTGAGCGGAGGTCACTTGATAGTAATACTTTATCATTTATAAATATGTCATTTTGTAGTAAATTATTTAGTTGTGTATTTTTTTTAACATAATTTGTTTAATGGTGTTCCAAATTTCAAAGTTTTACTACAATTTACCTGGTTTTCCCCTGTTTTATTTCAGTTTTCACATTTTCTAGCAAAACTTTTGGAAAAACCAAAAAAAGACCTCTTTGAAGTACCCATCTAGTAAAATTTATTTTTAGAAACCTTACTTTCATTAAAAGTTGGAGCAAAATTATCAATTGAAAAGTTGTACGCAAAATAAAAGGAAGCCAAAATATATGGCATATTCGCTCCACTTAAAATCTAAAATATTAAAAAAATAAACATAATTATAGATATCTTTTTCTAAAAACACATAGAAAAATATTTCAATATCAAACATTATCATTGTGCAGCGCAATTATTTAATGTTAAAATTTTAATAATAATAATAACATAAAAATCGTTAAACGACATATGATATATAAAAAGATAAAATTAAAACATATTTAAGGAGATAAGTATATACAATAAATAAGTGCGTGACTAATTAGGTCAAAAATTATATTTGTATTATCATAATATTTTCATTTATTATTAACCTCGTGTTTAAATAATACTTATGGTTTATTGAAAATATAATATCATAAAGGGTAGAATATAGGTATAATCCGTTTCGTTAAATGATTGCGCATTTATATTATAGACATGTAATATATTTTCAATGAAATTCACGATCTGGACGAATTTCAATGTCTGGAAATCCAACTCGTGGAATAAGTGATTTCACTATGTGTATGGTACTTTTATGTATTTTCATAATTTTTTTTATCCGATTATAAATTGTCAACACTTCATAATTGATCATTTAATATCTCAAATCAATATTTTCTGTCATTTTTTTAATTTTATTTTTTCCTCAATAAACAGACACCAATGAGAGATCAGTTTTCACATTGCTACCCCACTACTGCCATCGCTTGGTTATAGGTATAATTAAGTAATGTTTTCTGAAATTCTGTTTTTTCCTTCGCGGAGCAGGCAAACATTATTAACTATGCTAATCAAAGCACGGAATAGGCAGTCGGTGGACCACGTCACCTCCTGACATTTCTTTTAAAGTTTAGTCATATGGATATTACATTTTCGCTCATATATAGTGTTCATTATAAATCTACTGATAACATGAAAACAAACTCAGATTGAACCATTATAACCAAGGCTCAGATTTATATGCATTTGCATAGTTTCTTTTAACACTGCAAAAATTAGCTAGTTAAGCTACAACTCTACAAGTTTGAATTATAGTCAAAAGATCCAAAAAAAAAGTGATTGAAACCTATTTGTTTTACTATTCTTCGATGATTATACACACATATAACTACAGTTCGTAGAGAATTTGTTTTCTTATATTATCTAATCACCTCGAGATTAGGATAAATCAGTCCGGACTAGTGGTTTTAATCATATTTTTCATAATTTAAGTGTTTATTATTCCGAGCCTTACTTATAACATTAAGTTTCCATTTATTTATATGTACTGGTACTATTTATTTATCATTATGTATGAATATTAATTCTCTTGAAATTTATTAAATTTTGAAATATAACAATAAGGAATGTTTTTAAAAATTAAAAAATTCGTATATAAACATAGTATAGTTATGCGAAATGAGTATATATATTTGCACATATTTATATTGTAACAGGTAATTGATACATTATTATTAAAACTATGGACACAAACAAAATATGTCCCGCTTGATATATTTTTACATTTAGACCAAAGGATAACTGGCCATAGTTGCGATACCACAGTTATTCAAGGATAATGCACGGTAGTTTTGTATTGGTAAAAGCGGGGTTAGGAGTGGGGTTCTTAAGAATTGATAGGAATAGTCTTCTCCCGATTCTGTGGTGTTATAACCAACAACCAGTACTCCGTGGTTGAGCCGTGTTGAACTACAATCAGACGCGTAAAACACTCCTGATTTATAAAAGCCGAAGTCAAGCCCTGAAGAGTCTATAGCAACAGATATCGGCCCAACAGTTGTAACGGCTTCCATGAGAGCGTTTTCGTCTCCATGGGTAATGTTCACGTATCCTCTGTCGGTAGCGCCCTTGTGTCTAAAACTGTACTTGCACTTTCCTTGCTGTAAATATTTATTAATAAATTTCCTAATATATATGCCAATCAACTCGATGATGTCTTACCCCGCCCGTATAAGGATACGAATCCTCAGTATCAATTCCTCTATTATATTTGATGTATCTAAAAGCATTATTCATAAGGCCACCCATACAACCATAATTACCAAACCAATTAGAGCAATCGACCAAATTTTGCTCGCTCAATGATACGAGCTTCCCAGTCTTCCGGAAATGTTGTCCTTCCAATGCTCCAGTCTAAAATTAAAACATATACACTTTGATAAAACCATCAAACGCTTTTAGGGGAATAGAAACAACGAGTCCTCTCTTCGACGAACTCACGTAAGATATAGGCATTTATACACTTAGGCAACTAATTCTAACGTACCAGTTGGTCTAGTAAAGGGATAAGAATTCTGAAAACAGATTTGAATTTGTTATGAACTTGAGATTGCCTTTTCCACTTTTTAAATTTATCTCCCTGAAATCTAAAAATAGCCACACTTATAAAATATTAATTGAAAAAAGACGGCGCAGGATAATGGGAATGAATTCAGCTACTGTTATATGTAATTAAATGTATACCTGTAAGTAACGATAAACCATTGCTTACGAAATAATAATATTGAGCGGAGTTCAGTTGATAGTGATATAGCATTACCGATTTTTCCAGTTTTCTTATGTTTTTCCCAGTTTCTTCATGTTTTACCCCGTTTTTTCACTTTAGACTGGAATACTCTCGGGATAAATTAATAATTACTTTTCAAAAGTACCTCTCAAATGGGATTTTATTTTAGATTACTTGCTATCATTATAAATTGGAGAAAATCGCTGGTTGAAAATCTGGGCAAGATTTCAAGTAGAAAAGTTTTGACACAGATAAAAAAAAAGAAAATACTGACCATCCTTATAAAACTATAAACTTCTTCACTTCACTCAAAATCTAAAACAGAATATTTTAATTTTTTGAGATATTGAAATCAAAATCAAAAGAGTGTGTAAGTCGATCTCAAATATACTTCACAGCAAATTTAAATCTGCTTTTAGTATTCGCATAACTTCCCTAAAACAATTAGTACGTAGAAAATAAAACAGGCCTGTCTACCGCCAAATACTGTGAACCATACAACATAGTCGATCTCATTACACTCTCGTAGATTTTGCCTATATTCTATTTAAATTTGTTATTAACTGAAACCCTAAGGGTAACCATTAATTTGAATTTTTTTAAAAATAAAACAAAACAAAAAACCAAATATTATTCTATTTTTCGAAAGTTTAATTTTAATAAACCCAATTATTGTATACAGAAAAATTAAGTCATTATCATATTATATACTAAAACTTACAGCACTAAACGCCCAGCACGATCCGCAAATGAAACCTTGGTCTTTGACAGGTGTCACGTATCCTTTATTCCTCCAGTCGACGGAACTGGGAGTAATCACATTTTCAGACCTCAAGAAAGTCACTGAATCACCATCATCAATGTCATTTGTTTTCAAATAATTAAATCCGTTCATTTTTTCAGTAATTTCATGAGCAGTCTAATGTATCATAATAATTGTTCGAATTGGATATTACAAAGAATCCTGGCTTATAAAATCAAATAGTTATATGTGTAATTTGTATAGNCGATTTTCACCTTGTTTTCTAAGTATATATTTTTACGGAATAACTCTTCTTCGACATTCTTGTATACTTTGTTAAACTTTACCTGTAAAAAAAAAAATATATATATATAACATCAATTTATTAGCATTTTATACATAGATAAACAAGTATTTTGTACACACTTTGAACGAATTCCATTCTTTTGAAATATCATGTATAGTCATTGAGCACACAGCACTGATAACTATGACCACAAATCCCAAAACAATCAACACCTTCATATTATCTATATTAAAAATGAAGTAATTAGAATAAATGCAATTTGTATCTTCAAATGGATACTTATGGATACTATTAGCAGTATAAAAAAAAACTAAAAAAAAAAACATTTTGAATATTCAATAAATTATAAAGTATATTGTATTTTAGATATTTCAAATTCCTCTCTAGTTCATTTTATTATAGTCGTCCTGCATGCAATTTTTCAAATATAAATTACACTTTTAACATCATTCAATGTCGTCTTAAATCATTTTCAAAATATTTTAGTTATTGCCCAAATAAAATTTTAAGAAAGTATTTTTTACTTTATTTATTTATATATCCAAGTGCATATTGCTTTAATTTTGGTAAATTATTTATTGATCGTTATATGAAAATATAGGTACCTACCTTTTATAAGGAAAACTTCTTTTTGCGATGTACCTTCTTCTCTTATTCCGTAAAACTTCTTCAAAAGCAGTTATTTGATCATAAACCCAACGTTATTTTCAACAATTTAATTACTAATGATTGTAAGGTCTATCTGAAGAGAAACTGTAATCCAAGGCTTTTATATATAAAATAAAACTCGAAAAAGCAATTGTTTGATTTGCTTTCATTCTAAATTACCTGTTTAAAATCTAACGATTAGATATGTTAACCTTTATATTATTGTTGAAGTGTACTTCACTAAAAAAATAAGTTTATCTAAAATAGCTACCTGATTTTAATTAGTCTTAAGTTGTGTAATGATATGCTATTTAAGCTATCATACATTATGTAAAATAAAATATTATATAAGAAATAAATCAAACAATTTATAAAGGAAATGATAGTTAAACATTTACATCTGATGCCATTCTTTTTTTTATCAGCTTCATATATAATTAAAATAAATTATATAATCAATATTGTAAAATAATTATAATAATTTGTAGCCATTAATTATTAGATTAAGTTGTTAGTATTAACCAAATTAAGATAACACATTTACACACGCACACACACATATTTCTCCAGTTATAAGGAGGCCGGCCACTTCCAATAA